TGACCTGAGCCCAGCAGGTAGAGGCTACAGTGGCTGTGAACATGCCACTGCACTCCAGCCTGGGTGACAGAGTGAGACTCCAACTCAAAAAATAAAAAAAGTTTGTCTGCCAGGCTCGGTGGCTCAGCCTGTAATCCCAGCACTTTGGGAGGCTGAGACTAGTGGATTGCCTGAGACTGCGGGTTTGAGACCAGCCTAGGCAACTTGGCAAGACCTCATCTTTACAATAAATTTAAAAATTGACCAGGAGTGGTAGTGCACGCCTGTAGTTCTGGCTACTAGGAAGGCTGAGGCAGAAGGATCGCCAGAGCCCAGGAGGTCAATGCTGGGGTGGTCATGAGTGTGCCACTGGACTCCAGCCTGGGCGACAGAGTGAGACTCCAACTCAAAAAAAAATAAAGTTTGTCCAATGACATAGAAGTTAAGTGACAAAGTGCAGGGTTTAAATTTAGGAAGTCTGATCCAAGAACCAGCACTGAATGCAGTAAATCCCCTACATACGAACAAGTTCCATTCTGAGAGCGCGTTAGTAAGTCCAATTTGTTCATAAACCCAACAAAGTTAGCCTACGTACCCAACAAACACAATCAGCTACCTAGTACTGTACTGCAATAAGCTTATAATACTTTTCACACAAATAATACATAAAAAACACAAAATTAAAGAAAACATTTAATTAATTTATTTATTTGATTTTTGAGTCAGTCTCATTCTGTTGCCCAGGCTGAAGTGCAGTGGCACAATCACAGGTCATCACAGCCTCGGCCTTCTGGGCTCAGGCGATCCTTCCACCTCAACCTCCCAAGTAGCTAGGACTATAGGTGTGCGCCACTATGCCTGGCTAATTTTTTTGGAGAGATGAGGTTTCACCATGCAGTCCAGGCTGGTCTCAAACCGGTGGGCTCAGGCAATCCTCTTGCCCCCATCTTCCAATACGCTAGGGTTGCAGGCATGAGCCACCGTGCCCAGCAAGAAAACACTTTATATCTTACAGTACAGTACCTTGAAAAGTACAGAATTACAGTACAACAGCTGGCAAACAGGGACTGGCATTAAGTAAAAAGGCAAGAAGAGATACTAGCTGGAAGAGTGAGAGAGTTGGGAGATGGTAGAGTTGAAGGATCGTCAGCAACAGGAGAAAGAGGGCAAACTGCAATTCCATTCACGCCTGACATTGATGGCACAGGTTCTGGTTCCTTGCTGGATTCAATTCTATCTACCCTCTCGAGAAAACGATTCAGTGATGTCTGGGTAGTAGCTCTTTTTTTCTCCTCACAGATGGATTGTGTTTTGAATGGCAGCTGGAACCTTCGTATGCCGTGTTTGAATCCCTGGAAGTTCGTAACTTGAAGGTTCATATATAGGGGATGTACTGTACTAAATGATTCTGTCTCTCTCATAATTAAGTAGAGGTATTTATTGCTGGATATAAACAAGTAACAAGAGAAATGCTGATCATGGCTGAATTCAGTTATTTGTTCATCCTTTTTTGTACTTAAAACATCTTATGGCCATGCGCAGTGGTTCACACCTGTAATCCCAGCACTTTGGGAGGTTGAGGTGAGAGGATTGCCTGAGTCCACAGGTTCAAGACCCGCCTGACCAACTTGGAAAGATCTAATCTCTACAATAAGTCAAAAATTGGTTGGGCATGGTGGCACATGCCTGTACTTCTCTAGCTCTCCAGGTGAGCACAGATGTATAAGCAACACCAGCAGGAATTGGCCCTTCTGGCTAAGACCTGAAGAACCACTCTAGTGACACAATGAATTTATAAGAAATGAGAATCAATAATGGTTTGTTGTTGTTTTTTTCAATTTTTTTTTAAGTTGGAGTCTCACTCTGTCACCCAGGCTGGAGTGCAGTGGCATGCCCATGGCCACCGCAGCCTTGACCTACTGAGCTCAGGCGATCCTTCTGCCTCAGCCTTCCAAGTAGCTGGCACTACAGGCATGTGCCACCACACCTGACTAATTTTTTTATTTATTGTAGAGATGAGGTCTCACCAAGTTGCCCAGGCAATCCTCTTGCTCCAGCCTCCCAAAGTGCTGGGAATATAATTTTTTGATTTATTGTAGAGATGAGGTCTCACCAAGTTGCCCAGGCAATTCTCTTGCTCCAGCCTCCCAAAGTGCTGGGAATATAATTTTTTGATTTATTGTAGAGATGAGGTCTCACCAAGTTGCCCAGGCAATCCTCTTGCTCCAGTCTCCCAAAGTGCTGGGAATATAGGCGTGAGCCACCACTCCCAGTCAGTTTGTTGTTTTAAGCCACTGTATTTTGAGATAGTTTTTATAAGCAAAAGTCAACAGACGCATGAGGAAGGATTTTTCTCCTAGCACCAGTTTAATTTATTTAAGTGATTAAGACCTCCATCCACTTAGTTGCTCATTCCAGAAACTTGGTGTGATAGATTGAAATCTTATTCAGTAAACATTAGCTCCCTCCCCATTCCTCACCTTGGAGCAGAGTGTGTTTTCCTGACACACTGACTTTGGGCTTGTCTAGCAGGTTTGGCCAGTGAAACGTGAGCACACATCATGCTTGCAGAGGCTTAAATACGCCGTGTGGTTAGACTTGACTTTTAAATTCCCACCATTCAGTGTGAGAATGTTTTGAGTCGCTGCTACTCCTAGAATGATGATCAGACCTGAACCGAATTCAGAGACTAGAGACCAGCCCAGCAACCTGTATTCTGAGGCAGAGCCAACCTGGCCAACCATGGACATATGATAGAAACAAGTAAATGTTTATTGTTCTAAGCCGCTCCATTTTGAGGTGATTTGTTACACAGCATTGTTGTGGCAATAGCTGACTGCCACTGTGGCAATAGCTGCCTGATTCGTAAAACCCTTAGGAATAGAAATTTTGAGCAGATAGGCCAAGGAGATACCTTTAAGGTACTGGAAAGTCCTAGGCTAAATAAATAAATAAAAAATAGGACATAATGGTAGCACCTACTTCACAGGCTTGTTATGAGGATTAAATGAAGAATATCTAAGATTTTAGAGCAGTGCATGTTAGGCATGATAAGAACTTATTAAATAAATAAAATACCTTTTTTTAAAAATTAGAGTGTCACTCTGTTGCCCAGGTTGGAGTGCAGTGGCATGCTCACGGCCACTGCAGTCTTGACCTGCTGGGCTCAGGTGGTCCTTCCGCCTCAGCCTTCCAAGTAGCTGGAACTACAAGTGTGTGCCCAACTAAAATTTTTTTTTTCTTTTGTCATAGAGATGAGGTCTCATCAACTTGTCCAGGCTGGTCTCAAACCCCTGGGTTCAGGCAATCCTCTTGCCTCTGCCTCCCAAAGTGATGGGATTACAGGCGTGAACCACTGTGCCTGGCATAAAGTACATTTTTATACTTTACGTATAACTTTTTTTTTTTTTGAGTCGGAGTTTCACTCTGTTGCCCAGGCTGAAGTGCAGGAGCACACTCATGGCCACCGTAGCCTCAGTCTGCTGGGTTCAGGCGATCCTTCCGCCTCAGCTTTCCAAATACCTGGAACTACAGGTGCACACTGCCTTGCCTGGCTTATTTTTAAGTTTATTGTAGAGATGAGGTCTCACCCAGTTGCCCAGGCTGATCTCGAACCCGCGAGCTCAGGCAATCCTCTTGCCTCGGCCTTCCAAAATGCGGGGATTACAGGTTTGAGCTACTATGCCTAGCCTTGAGCCACCGCGCCCGGTATAAAATGCATTTTTATCCTTTATATATAACTTAAATACCACTTCTTCAGGGATTCCATCTAAGATACACACTTTCCCCAAGACAAGGCTAGGTTCCCCTTTTATATGCTCTCATAGTACAGTATTTCTTCATTGTGTCTGTCAAAAATAAAATTAAAAACTAATAAGCTCACTTCACTCCAATAGAGTGGAAGCTTCATGACGTTAGAAACCACTTTTGCACCATGTGCTTTTGTATTCTAACACCCAGCTCAGTGCTTTGCACATAACAGGCACTTAATAAATATTTTTGAATGAATGAGTGAGGGTTGTGTCTTCTGAATGCCCAGCATGTGGCACAGCTTGACTCATAGGAAAAGCTCCTTAAATGATGGCTATATTAAATGTAAATAGAACTCTCAAGAGATAGTTCTGGTTGTGTGTGGTGGCTCACCCCTGTAATCTCAGCACTTTGATCACAACTGAGGAGGGAGTCTTGCTTGACTGTAGGAATTCAAGAACAGACTGGGCAACATAGTGAGACCTTGTCTCTATGAAAAATTAGCCAAGCGTGGTGGCATATGTAGTCCTAGCTACTCAGGAGGCTGAGTATTGCCTGAGTCCAGGAGACCCAGACTGGGGTGAGCTGTGATCATGCCACTGTACTCCATAGTGGGCAATAGAGTGAGACACCCAACTCAAAAGAAAAAAAAAAAAAAAGAGATAATCCTAAACTGAAATTATAAACTTGGTGTTGTCACTATGCAGGTGTTAGTAATAGCCATGGGAGATGATACAGGTATGAGATTAAAAATATTCACAAGGGTGTGGCATGGACCCTGACCAATCAGAATCAATGTGCCCTGCCAGGTGCTATCCCTGTAGTTACTGAAACATGGGAAGCTCCAGGAACCTGGAAATGGTGATTGGGCTAGAGGTGGGGGCATTCAGTTGGCTCAGAGTAGAGGTTCTTTCCCACCAGATACAGAAATATTTCATGGCTTCACAGGTGCAAAATGCCTGGATGCCAGCCCTAAGCCCTGAAGAGTACATGGGGTGAGAAGTCTGGCCAGGATGGAGACCTGGAGGACACCCGTGTCTAAAAGATGAGAAGAAGCAGAAATTCCTGCAAAGGAAATTGATAACAACTGAGTAAGGGAAAGAGAAACAGGAGTGTTGTCCTAATATCCAAGAAAATTTCTGGAAAAGACTGGTCTACAGTGTCAAATGCTGCAGTGACTTCAAGAGATGGAAGACCAAAAGCCATCCATTAAGGACATCTATGCTAAACTGGTGACAGTTCCTGAAATGATGTCACAGGATGCTGAGGGCTTTCTAGGATGTTGATTTACTGAAATGAGGAGTAAATGATAAATGAAGAAGTATATACAGGGGCAAAGATTATTTTTTTTCTCAGTAAAGACAAGGTTTCTTGTCATGGTTAGAGACAGATGCCAGTGTTAAGAGAGTACTTTAGCTATTTATTAATTTACATGATTGTTTATTTTAAAAAAAGAAGGTACCCAAGTATACTTAAAAGAGGATGAAGGGCCATTAGGAATGGAGTAGTTTAAATATCAAAACAGGAATAATTAATACGTTTGAATAAGTTGCTTGTCATTTGCTATCTACAGCAGGGATCCCCAACCCCTGGACCCTGGACCAGTGATGGTTTGGGGTCTGTTAGGAACCAGACCACATGGCAGGAGGTGAGCAGTGGGCAAGCAAGCCAGTGAAGCTTCATCTGTATTTACAGCCACTCCCCATTGCTTGCATTACCTCCTGCGCTATGCCTCCTGTCAGATCAGAAGTGGCATTAGATTCTTATAGGAGTGTGAACCTTATTGTGAACTGCACATGCGAGGGATCTAGGTTGCAGACTCCTTAGCTCCTTATGAGGTGTGGCTGAGGTGGTGATGCTAGCACTGATAAGCGGCTACAAATACACATTAACATTAGCAGTGAGGTTTGACTGCACAGAAACCATAATAAATTAATTGGTTGCAGACTCATATCTAAACCCTATCAGTGAGTGGCAAGTGAGTTGATGTACTTCAATTGTATAACTGTATCTGGTGACAAGCTTTAAGTCAGAATCTGACACTTATTTTAGTCCGCATGTGGCCTGCCCATTATTCTATTTACCACTTCCATTAACATCTCTTTTTTAAAATGGTGAGTTGTATAATTATTTCATTATGTATTACAATGTAATAACAATAGAAATAAAGTACACAATAAATGTTATGTGCTTGAATCATCCCCAAACCATCCCTTAAACCCATCCTTGGAAAAATTGTCTTCTATGAAATGAGTCTCTGATGCCAAAAAGGTTGGGGACTGCTAATCTATAGGGAATATAGAATCAGAGGAAAGGGATACACTGACTTTCAACTCTGCATGTATAATTCACAAAACTGACGTAAGTTATTAGGTTCTGAAAGGGGGTAAACTCCTTGTACCGTGTTCTTAGAGAGCCATATAATAAAACAAGGAATAATCAACCAAATAGAATAAAAAGTGCCAGAGGCATGGGTGTTACAAAATCATGCCTGGATTAAAAAGGAACGCATGCTATAATAAATATATTATTTTAAAAAGAGGGAACACGTGAATGGAAAAAACAAAGCAGCAAAAACAGTAAACTTCAGAGATACGGCTATAGATTTTTCTTTTCTTTTTTTTTTTTTGAGTTGGAGTCTCACTCTGTTGCCCAGGCTGGAGTGCAGTGGCACACTCACGGCCACCACAGCCTCAACCTGCTGGACTCAGGAGATCCTTCCACCTCAGCCTTTCAAGTAGCTGGAACTACAGGCATGCGCCACCACGCCCAGCTAGAATAATCTAATATTTTACTAAATGTTTTCAATTTTTACAAGGAGTCCCAGAAAATATTTATTGATGTGATATTGAAATGATAGGATGTAAAAAAAAAAAAAACACATAAATAAGAAATGGTAGGTTGTTCATGTAGGGAAATTGGACATAATTACCACAGCATTTTAGGTTTCACTCTCTGTGTCCAAAGATAACTATTTAGGAAACAAAGTCTGAATTACCCTTAGTGAAAGTTCCAAATTTTCTCCTCCCCAAAGTTCCATGTCCTTGTCGTACTGTCCAATTTCATTAAAATAGTGCCTGTCTATAGCAAAAACTCCTCCAGCCATTGCAGGTGACCTAAAAGGGGGACATAAGTATCAAACTATTCCACAAAGAAAGTCATTATGTATTTTTCTCAACATTATATTAAATATTAGTAATAACATAGCTAACAGCTAGAAAACAACCATATTAATACAAAAATTGTTGTGTTATACATTTAGGTATATAAAATCACCAAATTAATACCACAACTACTGTTTTTGATAATAAAACCACTGCAGTGACTCACATCTGTAATCATAGCACTTTGGGAAGTTAAGGTGGGATGACTGCTTGAGAAAAGGAGTTGAGACCAAAAAGTCAGTGATAACTTTTACTTAGTTCTCATCAAATTATGTAAGCACTATATCCTAAATGTTGTCTTGATGAGAAGGAAAATGAAGTTTAGAATATGAGTTTCCCATGAGGATGACATTGAATTGATGTGAAGTAATTGTCTGGCTATAGACCCTGTCCCCCTACTCCAGGCTTCTTTCTGCCCCCTCCTCTAGGGAGCAGACTATGGCCAAGGCTGGTCTCTGCAGGACACGCATATTCCCAGTGATGAGTCCTGGGATGCAGGTGCTTGAGCGGAGCTGAGAACAATGTGGGCAGCCCCCTTCCTCACTGCAATTGTATACACCATAGAGCAATCTGAACAACTGGTTGGTTGATTTTATATATATATATATGTAGGTTTTATATATTATATATATATATATTTTTTTTTTTTTGAGTCGGAGTACTGTCTCATTCTGTCACTCAGACTGGAGTACAGTGGCACGCTCACCACCACTGCAGCTCAACCTGCCGGGCTCAGGCGATCCTTTCACCTCAGCCTTCCAAGTAGCTGGAACTACAGGTACGCGCCACCATGCCCAGCTAATTTTTTGATTTGTTGTAGAGGCGTGGTCTCGCCATGTTGCCCAGGCTAGTCTTGAACCCATGGGCTCAGGAAATCCTCTCACCTTGGCCTCCCAAAGTGCTGGGATTACAGTCATGAGCACCACACCTGGTTTAACTTGGTTTACTATAAAACTGCTTATTGTACTGTCCCAAGGTGTGGATTCTTTCTTCACCAACTGGGCACTATCAGTGCCTACTGTAAGTTCTAATAAACCAATGTCTCTCCCAGATGACTTCTTTGGAATAGGTAAACATTACATGCAAGCTCTCTCAGCTTTGGGGTTACCTAAATGTCATGATTGGGCAGTAGATTTTAGAGCTCTTTCTTTCTAAGGGCCTTAAGTGGACTATAATATTTACTTCTGGAAAAATAAAACCCATAATATCACAAAGCATTTTTGTTTGTCCACTAATAGTAGGGCCCAATAATACCACACTAACTAGTTTGAAAATAATTACAAGTTCATTCATTTACTCAAAAAAGTATTTATTGAGCACCTATGATAAGGATAAATAAGTGATTCAATAAGCAGAGGAAGACTGCAGCTTGTGTGGGGGTAAGGGTAGAAGCAGAGAGACCATTTACAGGGGGTTGCGGTGGTCCCAGAGAAAAGTAGGGAGTTCTGGGTAAAGGTATACCAACGAAGGTGGCGAGATGTGGTCAAATCCCTGGTCTGTTTTGAAGTTGGAGCTAGCAGATGTGCTTATGGGTGGGATGTGGGCTGTTAGGGGAAGAGAAGATTCAAGGCTGACTCCAACATTTTTGGTCTGAGCACAGGCAGATGGATTTGCCATCAACTGAGATGGGAAGTACTATGGTGGAGAGGGTTTTGGCAAGGAAGTTTCTGTTTCAGACATATATGAGATGTCTACTCAGCATTCAAGAGTCGATGTCAGGTAGACAGTTGGATACATGAATCTGGAGGTCTGAGAGAGGTCAGGGCTGGAGCCAATTTGGGAGTCATCAGTGTAAGATGGATGAGAATCACTATGTCAGTGGGTGGAAACCAGAAGAGGACCAAGGCTGAGCCCTGGATACCTCAACAGTAAGAGTTACTGGGCATGGTGGCAAAATAAGCTAAAGCAGTTAATAAAATCAAATTGCTAACAAAATTAGCAATAATATTAATCAGCTTACTCCATTTTGTTTAAAAATCATCTTAGTTACCTGCCTGACCTAAGAATCAGTGCCTATATGTAATTACAGTCACATTCCTTTGTCTCCTTTGGACAGTTATGCTGACCATTACCTGCTGACCATTATAGAACTCCTTCACCATAGTTCCCATGTAATTGTATGATTTGTTAACTGAAGTAAAATGTTATGCTTTGACATTTTCATAGTTTGTTCTTATATTCTGTTAGTGATCTAACCAAGGTAACTCCATTATATAATAATTCTTCTTCCTTGTCTCTATAAAACTACCTTAAACTATATCTTAATGACAAAACTCCAGGTACTTTCTGGGCACCGGCTATACCTACCTGACGTGAAATTAATCAAAGCTCCCTAACAATCAAAGTTCCCATTTTGGTTGCCAAGTTGTTAGTTAATAGTTGCTATGGTCACTAAGTTGCTATATAGACAATGCTAAAAATTTTACCTATAAAAGCTTGTCACAAACTACACCAATTTGCCTAGAGTTTTTCTGGCATTTGCCTACTCTTGACCTGAACATTTAATAAATTCATAATTAATTAAACTCAACTTGTTGGCGTACCTTCTTCTCGCTTACTAGGTCATAACAGTGGCTCAAGCCTGTAATCCCAGCACTTTGGGAGGCTGAGGTGAGAGGATTGCCCTCAAGGGTTTGAGACCAGCCTAGGCATTTGGTGAGACCTTGTCTTTACAATAAATAAAAAAATTAGCTGGGCATGGTAACTTGTGCCTATAGTTCCAGCTATTTGGAAGGCGGAGGCAGAAGAATCTCCTGAGCCCAGCAGGTCAAGGTTGCTTTAGCCATGAGTGTGCCACTGCACTCCAGGCTGGGAGACAGAGTGAGACTCCATCTTTAAAAAAAAAAGTTTGGAGAGGCTGGACATGGTGGCTCATGACTGTAATCACAACACTTTGGGAGGTGGAGGGGAGAGGATTGCCTGAGCCCACAGGTTCGAGAGCAGTCTGGGCAATGGAGGTAAGGATAGGTGAGGAAAGAGGAAGAACAGGAAACTGTGGTGCCCTGGAGGCCCTGGAAAGAATGTGTGACAATGAGAAGGGTGTGACTGGAAGCATCCAAGGCTGCTGAGAGATCAATGAGTTGAGTATTGAGTACTGAACACTGAACAACGTGGAGGTCATTAACAAGTCTTAATCGTGGATGGGAATAAAACCTGATGGGAGTGAGTTTAAGACACAAGGTTTAAGATTTAGCTGGGGGACTTCCAGCAAGATGGCGACAGGTCAGCTTGGTCTGTGAGACCCTCCGTGAAAGAGAAAACACATAAAGACTCTAGCTCTCTCCTGGGGGCTGCAGTTCCCATTGTCAGCAGCCTGCTCTTCACAGGGAGCTCAGCTGTGGCCGCAGCTCAAACATCACGGTGATCTGGGCAGCCGCTGCAGCCGCAGATGCTGCTGCCACCACCACTGCCACTGCCACCGCCACCGCCGCAGCCATCACCCCACCTGTGCCGGAGGCAACCCACGACTTCAGGCCATAAAGCCCCGCAAGCAAGACCTATTGAGACTGCCGCTGCTACCACTGCCACCATCATGCCCTGCCTCTCGCTTGGAGCCAGACTCGTGGAGCTCTTTCATGTGCCATGAGGCAGCCTGCCGCCGCCACCACCAAGTGGCTTCCATCCCTAGCTCCCTCCCCTCCTGGGCGAGCAGCTGCAGATAAAGATCAACTGGAGCAGTGAGATAGCACCACCTGCTGGCGATTTCAGGTAACAACACTGAAATGGGAAAGACAGAAGCTTGATAAATAGACACAGGCCAGATTTGAGTAGTGAACTGGGCAGGGAGCCCAAATAAGAACTGCCCTTCACAGTAGGCCAGGGGAAATTGACCCTAATGGTGAACAAATTTACCAGCCTGCAAAGACAGCTAGAAATCAGAGCTGAAAGGACATTGGACTTAAACGAAAAGTCTCAGAGTGTGCTTGGTTGGTTCTGTTAGCTTACTGACTTAATTCTTTTCCTTTTGTTTTGTTCTTTATTTTATTTATTTTTTAATTTCTCTGTAAATCCCATCTTTGTATAGAGGAATAGCACACCAATAAGGAGGTTGATTAGCTTGTACGTTAGCATCATTGTATGTTTTAGTTTTAACGTATGGTTCTTGGTTAGCTTGTGGTCGTGGTTTATTATTTTTATCTGTTTCAGTCTTTGTGTCTCTCTTTATTTGTTGGTACCCTCATCTGTTTTCCCTCTTACTCCCCTCTCTCTCCACCCTCCTCTTCACCCAACTGCCCACTCCATTCTCTTCCCTCTGTTATCCTCATTTTGCTTTCAGGGAGTAAACCTACAACCCCACTGCATGGAAAGATTGCAAGGCAGTGGTAAGTGGGTTTCAGATTATCCATATACCTGTCAGCAGATACAGGGATCTGCAGATAGATTTTGAATCACAGCTCTCCCCTTAAGTAAATCTCAAAACTGCAAAAAGGACCGCCCCCAACCTACAGTCCAACTCCAGAATTGAACAAAGCAAGAGGATATACATAAAGAAGAATAGGAGATTGAATAAGCAGAAGTAAAAGCAGCCCCTACACCCCTGAATAACAGAATTAAAGAAGATGAGGAAGTTCAGGGAAGGAAAAAGTAAGGAGGAAAAATCTGCACAAATGAAGAAAAACCAAAAGAAGAATATAGGACTCACATAGACCCCTGGGAGGTCAGACACTGAGAAAACAGACTTTAGAACACAAACAATGAAGAGCCCCCAGAATGACTGATCACATGCAACAAACCCAGACATCAAGACATTAATAGAATAAAAAAAATTGAGGAGAGACAAGAGGAAAATAGGAAGGAGCTGATGACAGAAATAACAGCAGTAAAGAATACTGTGATGGAAATAAATAACAAACTAATAAGCATGGAAAGCAGAATTAGCCAAGCAGAAGAAAGAGTCTCAGAGCTCAAAGGCCAAAACACAGAACTAACTCAAACTGTCAAAATCATAGAAAAAGAAGCTCAAAAAGAGAACAAAACCTTCAAGAGATGAATGATCACTTCAAGAGATGGAACCTAAGAGTAATTGGCCTTCCTGGGGCAGAGAGAGAAACAGAGGCCACACTGGAACAAACATTTCATGAAATCATTCAAGAAAACTTCCCTCATCTCATCAGTGATGCAAAAATTCAAACACAAGAGATTCAGAGAACCCCTGCAAGACAACAAATGAGAAGACCAACTCCCAGACACATAATACTTCACCTAAACAAAGTAGGTATAAAAGAAAAATTCCTAAAGGCAGCAAGAGAAAAAGATCAAACTACCTACCAGGGAAGACCAATTAGAATAGCAGCAGATTTATCACAGAAACCCTCCAGGCTAGGAGAGCTTGCAGCCCTATCTTCAAAGTCCTAAAAGATAAACAATTTCAACCAAGAATAGCCTACCCAGCCAAGCCAAGTTTCATCAGTGAGGGAGAATTGAAATATTTCCCTGATATCCAATCCCTAAGAACCTATGCTGCCACCAGATCATCTCTACAAGAAACACTTAAGAAAGTATTGAGCACAGAAGAAAAGGAAACAAGAACAACAATGTTCTTCACAAGGGTACAGGCAAAAGATTAAAAACACACATGAACCAACTCCAAAACCAAAAGACAACACACAGACAGGAACCACAACAACAACTCTGTAAGAACCTTATGATAGGGATCAACTCTCACATTTCAATAATTAGCCTGAATGTGAATGGACTAAATGCACCACTGAAAAGACATAGAATGGCAAAATGGATAAAATGTCACCAGGCAACAATTTACTGCCTTCAAGAGACTCACTTCACTAAAAAGGACACTCACAGACTCAAAGTAAGAGGATGGGAAACAAATTTTCAGGCAAACGAAACACAAAAGAAAGGAGGAGTCACAATGTTAATCTCAGACAAAATATTCTTTAAGCTATCAAAAATTAAAAAAAATACAGAAGACCACTACATAATGATAAAAGTTTCAATCCATCAACAAGAAATATTCATCCTAAACATATATGCACCCAACATAGGAGCACCAACTTTCATAAAGCAACTCCTAGATAAACTAAAAAAAGATATCGACTCTAACACCATCATAGTTGGGGACTTCAATACCCTACTCACAACCCTAGACAGATCATCAGGACAAAAAATCAGCAATGAGATCCAAAACCTCAATGTGACTCTTGACCAAATGAACTTAATCAATACCTACAGAACACTCCATCCAATGACCACAGAATATACATTCTACTCATCACCACATGGACAATACTCTAAGATTGACCACATACTTGACCATAAATCAAGCATAAGCAAATTTAAAAAGATCAAAGTTTTGCCATGAGCCTTCTCAGACCACAGTGGAATAAAAATAAACATCAACACCAACAAGTTTCCCCCAAAACCCACAAAGGCATGGACACTAAACAGCATGATGCTAGACAACTCCTGGGTCAATGATGAAATCAAAACAGAGATTAAAAGATACCTGGAAACAAATGAAAATGAAGAAACATCTTACCAAAATCTCTGGGATGCCATGAAAGCTTTAGTAAGAGGGGAATTCATATCTCTACAGACGTACATGCAGAAAACGGAAGAATCACAAATTAACAGCCTAACAAGTCAGCTAAGGAAGCTGGAAAAGCAAGACCACCAAAATCCTAATTTCAGCAGAAGAATCCAGATCACCAAAATAAAGGCCCAAATCCGGGACATAGAAGACAAAAAGATAATACAAAAATCAATGAAACAAAAAGCTGGTTCTTTCAAAGGATAAACAAGATCAATGGTCCCCTAGCTAGACTGACCAAGAAAAAGAGAGAAAAAGCCCAAATAAACACAATCAGAAACACAAAAGATGAAGTCACATCTGACCCTGAAGAAATACAAAAGATCATTAGAGACTACTATGTACACCTGTATGGAAACAAAATTGAAAACCTTAAGGAAATGGAGGACTTCCTGACATCACACAACCCACCTAGGTTGAAACAAGAAGAAATCGAGACCCTAAATAGACCAATAACAATCAAGGAAATTGATTATGTAATAAGAAAACTACCTACAAAAAAAAGCCCTGGGTCAGATGGCTTTCCTGCAGAATTCCATAAGACATTCAAGGAGGAGCTGATACCAACCCTACTGAAAGTATTCCAGGTGATTGAGAAAGACAGAACTCTCCCCAAATCATTTTATGAGGCTAACATCACATTGATACCCAAGCCAGGTAAAGATCCAACAAAGAAAGAGAACTGCAAGCCAATATCTTTGATGAACATAGATGCTAAAATTCTCAACAAGATCCTAGCAAACCGGATTCAACAACACATCTCAAAAATTATCCATCATAACCAAGTAGGCTTCATCCCAGGGATGCAAGCCTGGTTCAACATTCACAAGACAATAAATGTAATTAAATACATCAACAGATGATAGAACAAAAACCACATCATTATATCATTAGATGCAGAAAAAGTTTTTGATAAAATCCATCACCCTTCTTGATAAAAACCCTTGAACATCTACACATACATGGAACATACCTCAAAATAGTAAAAGCCATCTACAACAAACCTACAGCTAGCATACTCTTAAACAGACAAAAATTGGAACCATTTCCCCTGAAAACTGGAACAAGACAAGGATGCCTACTCTCTCCCCTCCTGTTCAATATAGTTTTAGAAGTCCTGGCTAGAGCAATCAGACAAGAGAAGGCAATCAGGGGTATCCAAATAGGAAAAGAGGAAGTCAAGTTATCTCTCTTTGCAGATGACATGATTGTGTACCTTGAAAACCCAAGAGAATCTGTCAAAAGCCTCCTTGCACTGATAAAGGACTTTGGCAAAGTCTCAGGGTATAAATTAAATGTGCAAAAGACAATCACATTTCTTTACACCAATAACAAACAAACAGAAACCCAAATAAAAAGCACAATCCCATTCACAATAGCCACAAAAAAAAATGAAATACCTTGGCATCTTCCTAACCAGGGACGTGAAAGACCTTTACAATGAAAACTACAAAACACTGCTCAAAGAAATCAAAGATGACACAAACAAGTGGAAAAATATCCCATGCTCATGGGTTGGAAGAATCAACATTGTGAAGATGTCCATCTTACCTAAGGCAATCTATAGCTTTAATGCAATACCCATCAAATTACTGGTTACATTCTTGTCAGAGCTAGAAAACACAATACAGGAATTCATATGGAAAAACAAACGACCAAGAATAGCCAGAACAATCCTCAGCAAAAAAAAAAAAAAACAAAGCAGGTGGTATCAGAATACCAGACTTCAAACTTTACTATAAAGCTACAATAATCAAAACAGCTTGGTATTGGTACAGGAACAGGCATATAGACCAATGGAATAGAATTGAGATTCCAGAAGCGAGACTCAATTTTTCAACCAACTCATCTTCGACAAAGCCTCCACCACCTACCACTGGGGAGAGGAGAACCTATTCAGTAAATGGTGCTGGGAAAACTGGCTGACCACATGCAGAAGATTGAAACAGGACCCTATTTATCCCCATACACAAAAATTAACTCTAAATGGATCAGAGACCTAAATGTAAAACCTCAAACCATAAGAACCTTAGAAAATGCAGGACACACCCTTATGGAAATCGGAACTGGCACCCAATTCCTGAACAAAACCTGAAATGCACGGGCCATAAAAGATAAACAAGTGAGACCTCATTAAACTGCTTCTGCAAAGCCAAAGCAACTATCAAGAGAGCAGGGAGACAGACCACAGACTGGGAAAAAGTATTCACCAACTCCATATCTGACAAAGGCCTAACATCTTGGATCTACAAGGAACTCAAACATGCTGAAAAGAAA